TACACACACAGTGCCGTGCACACACACAGCTGCAAGAACAATGGAAGGGGTACCCCAAGGACAACCAAAAACTGTCTAATTATAAAATTGCCTTAATATTGCATGGGTCCTGGGGACCATCTCACGCAAGTGTGTACATGTCATGCATCATACTCGCACACAATGATCAGTAGTCTCACACGATAGACAAAGGTAGATGAGAAGAGAGCCGAGTTTCCAAGCTTATATTATCAAAAATATGATTACAAAGTGTTTCAAAGTTCCCCTGAGTCCAGCGCTCATCAGCGCAACACAAATCTCTTGCCAACTCATCAATATGACTTCCAATGCACCAGCGCTACATCTGCAGATTGTCTCCAAGTCATCAATGTGGTCACTACTCATCAGCGCCACCTCTGCAGTTCACATCCAACTCAGGTAAGTATCTTCCATAGCCGAACCTTGAATGAACACTCTATGCCTCAGTCCCTTCCTCCTATGGTGCATACACACTCTTCTCTCATGAGGATCTACTCTGAATACTACTCATAGCTAAATACTACCCCTCTACTACTAGTGCTAACTCGCTGGGCAGCTATGGCTGCATTACTTCCAGCGTACAGGCTTCTTCCCTCACTCAGCGCATCTCCTTCCTCCAGCGCTGCTCCTCCTGACTCAGCGCACAAGTGCACCAGCACTTCCACGCAGAAATGGCCAGTGGAGATCTGGCGAGGAATGAGGCTGGCAGCCTCCTTCATAGTGCTGGCCACTCCTCGCTGGGTCTGCATTGGCTCAATTCAGCCTTTCCTTTGTCCCGGACCCTGCATTGCATGTGTCCCAGTATAGTCCCAATGAGGTTCAACTGCTGCTGAGGCCTCTCGGCCTAGATTTGGACTGGAAAGTCTGGATCTGGACTGTCCCCTTGACTTAGACCAGAACTGGGGCTTTACCTATTGACTTTACTTTCGGACAGGCACAACTCTAGACGAACAGACACATTTACTGCCTGAACAGACACTTTCCTTTGCACGAACAGGTACACTGTCTGCACGTACAGACACACCCTTACTCGAACAGACATGACATGCACATCTTCTGGTGAACAGGTAAGTCCTTTGACAATGCCCTTTTGCTTTAGATTTGGATGTGCCCATTGGTAGAGAACTTGACCTTTGACCTGCTTTCACGTTTCTGAGCCCTGGCGAGATAACCTTTCAGGCTGCTTTACTTTTACAAGGCCCATGTTGCTTTACTTTTGCAAGGCTTGAGGCCTACATCGGGTAAAGGCCCTTTTAATATGTTGGATTGTGACTGTCTAATCTCAAATGCTCTTGTTGTCTGCAATACAACAAAGACTGCTTTGATTCTGAATCTATTCATCTGGGCGGAATTGGGGCTGTTGGGGGGGAAATCACACACACACACACACACACACACACACACACACACACACACACACACAGAGTCTCATCTCAAATGCTCTCGTTGTCTGCGATACGACAAAGACTGCTTTGATTTTGAATCTATTCATCTGGGTGGAATTGGGGCTGTTGGGGGTGAAATCACATGCAGACACACACACACACACACACACACACACAAACACACACACACACACACACACACACACA